CATTCCTTTAAGAAATTGTTAGTCTCTTGCTGTGTAAGCTTTAGGGTAAACCCAATCTTATTAAGTTTAACACGTGGTCACAGACCTCCCATGATGATAATAAATATATTACAGGCGTATGTATTTAACCTTGTCTAAGAATGAATGATGGGAAAATAAGCAGAGCAGGCCATGGGCTACTTATAAATAGAACGCGGGAATTTTTAACAAATCATTCAGAATATAGAATTACCTCTTGCTATTTTGTAGTGTGGACCATGGCAAACAATGTCTGAAACTTACGTTAGGCTTACCTCTTGTTATTTTATAGTGTGAACCATGGCAAACAATGTCTGAAACTTACGTTAGGCTGTAATATATAAAAAAAATCAATTATAAGCATATAAGAGTAACATTTAAATTAGAAAAATTCGGATATTCTAACAAAACACCATTAAAAACACTTAATACGAATATATTTGTTAAATAGTCCTATTTGCATGAAGTTTGTCAGGTAATTCTAGTTTTATTAATTTAGCAATGAAAATATTTTTAATTTTATATATCATTTAGGTACATATTAGAATTATAAGCACACTCAGTTTGCAGGGTAAAAACAGTTTGCTTCAGGGTTTTGTTTGTTGTTAAGCACAAAGATACACTATAGGCTATCTGTACTGTGTTAACAACGAGTATCGAAACCCAGTTTTTAGTATTATAGACCTTCAGAGTTACCGCTGAACCACTAGGGGGCTCAGAATTTGACGCAAAGCTGTAGAGTTATTTGCGCATAGCTGTTTTTAATTTTGAGCTGATAAGCTAGATGGAAGGGAGGCGGCTAGTCAATAGCACCCATCGTCAACTCTTGTCTGACCGAATGGTGAGATTTGACCCATCACTTTTTTAGCGCACCCACAGTACTAAAATGCAAACCATGAATCGTAAAAAAAATTAAATAAAGTCAATGATATTTTTTATTGTCATTGTAGCTAAATAATAATAACAGCGTGTGATACAAATGTAAGTAATCAATATATTTACCATCGTGACCAAATTATGTCTTAACATTTGGGAATTTGTTTATAATCTCTTCTAATGCATTGTGTGAAAATGCGAAATTAAATTCAAGCCTTTTACGACAATTGCAATGTGAAAACACTGGGAAATACACAGAACTGAGTGAATTTAGAAGTTTGCTATTCACTTATGAATTCTTTGAGGATAGCGATGAATAACTGAACTCTGCGATAAACTATACAATGGGAGTATTGTTTTTTGTTTTTTTTTAATTTTCGCGCAAAGCTACACGAGGGCTATCTGCGCTAGCGGTCCCTAATTTAGCAGTGTAAGACTAGAGGGAAGGCAGCTAGTCATCATCATCATCCACTGCCAACTCATGGGCTACTCTTTTACCAACGAATAGTGAGATTGACCGTCACATTATAACGCCCTCACGGCTGAAAGGACGAGCATGTTTGGTGGGACGGGGATTCGAACCCGCGACCCGCAGATTGCGAGTCGAGCTCCCTATATATTTTTATTAATTTCCTCTACCGGTTTTGTGACTTCAATGGCCACCTATAATACAAATATTTAAATAACATTTTACAAATAAACGGGAATTTAATATATATTTTTCCAAATGTTCAAACATAAAATATTGTCCTTATATAACGTACATTAAAATATACTCAAAAATAAATTAGTTAAATTTTTCATTCGTTGAAAATTTTTTTTAGTATTATTTAGTGTTATTGTATTATTAATTCTACATAAATTAATCCTCGTGAAGTGTATTCCCAAAATAACTCGAAATTAATTATAATATTTGTAAGGAACTAAGAAGAATATTAATTGAGGCTTAAATGTTGGAAAAATAGCAGATGATTTAAGAGGCCAATGTACATAAAGTATTGTTACCTGCTTGGCAGATCATAATATTATTGTTAGTTTGACAATCACCGCATTGTTCAGTGCTAATCAATATCAACACTTAATTAACCGATAATGCTGAAAGTCCTTATACCCCCAATTGGAAAATCGTGTTCGTAGAATTTCAGAATTTTGTTATCTTTGTGTATTGAAATAATGATAAATAACAATAATGGCGATAATAGAAACTTTCCATATTTCACAGTACCTACAGTGTTTTCTTCACAAATATGTGAAAGCATAAAATCCAAGGCTTCTCGCGAATGGTTTTTATCATTTTACATAAGAAACGACATGATTATTCCTTCAGATAGATTCAACATAACATGCTTTTTTTTTGCTGTTTTTGTAGGTACTAGCTTGATAACAATTTCCTAATTTCTAAAAAGAAAATTGGATACCAGTGATACGAGCGCCATCTATTAATTTCCCTGAAAAGCAGCAAACGTTCTTTTTTGTTAAATGCTTTTTCAGTTATGATTAACTAGCTGGAGTACCCGTCCGTTGGACGGATGAAATATAACTCTTTTGTAACAAAGGATAGGAAATTTTGTTTCTTTTTTATTAAATAATAAGCATTAAAAGTGCAATGAAAATACATAAAGGTACCAATACAGAAAAGAAACACATACTGTTTTTAAGAATTCTATCAGTACGAAATTAGATGGGGGGTCCAACCCTCTCATGTCATCCTGTATCAAGTTTGGTGCTGATTGATCAAGAAATGTGGAACCGTATAAGGAACAGATATACACCCACACCTATTGACGTTTATTTATATAGAGGATGGGGGTCTACCCCCCTCATGTACCTTCCTTATGTCATCCTACATCACTGTGTCCAGTTTGGTGCTGATCGATCAAGAAATGTAGAGACGAATATGGAACATATATGAAATGATAGATATACGACCGTGTATTTTTTACCCAGACACACAGTATGCTATATATGGTAGATTAAATGATAATAATTTGTAATAACAGTATATAAATAAAACCTGCATATTTAGCTTTTTAAAAATAAGAGACGCAATCTTAACACCAAAAATTATGGATTGTTTGTTGCTTTGTTTTCAAATTGCATCTTTCAAGGAATAATTGAATTTTATACGTTTGAATTGAACACAGAATATAATATACAAGCAAAGAAAAAACTTTTCAAAAAAGGAAGTAAATGTAGGGATCGTTAATATTAATCCTTAAAAAACAATGCAAACAAGATAGTAGGAATTGCATTTGCAATATCCCTACATAGGTGACCGGTAATTCCACTCCCCATGTCAAAATAAATAAATAAATATGAACATTAAAATTGAAATATATTAAAATATCTTTATACTTATTTTTGTAGTAATAGTAATAAATTCAATATTTGATTTAAGTAGTTTAAAATTGAAAATTTAATTAAAGTAGTTTTAAAATCTAGTTTAAGAAAGTATTTTAATTTTAAAATTTTAAACTGACAGAAGAGGGCATCATTAGTGACATGCAAGTGTCGTCACCTATAAGTGAGGCCTAGTCTGTTCCGATCTTTAGAAAATAATTTCAACTCTAAAAAAATAAAAATGCTTGACACAATTGAAGAAAGTTCACTTTGATCGGGATGACAATAACTACAAAAAGAATTATATAGATATGAGCAATGGCTAAAATATCTTCTTGCTAGATATAATCCAAATAACAAGATAGAATTTTTATCCGCAATAGCTCATAACCTGCATCATTTTTAATGTTGATTTTGTAAAAATATAGGTCACTTTTAATGTTCCTTATTTTTTTTTTTTACATGGGGACTGACATTACCTAAAACTCGCTACATAATAGCACAGGCACACAGTGAAGTAGAATGTTAACAGACAGAAATAAGATAAATTAAACTAGATTGTGATTGAATAGTTATTGATATGTACGTGAATAAGTAACCACTATCAATACTGTAATTTAAATACATTGTTAGATTGTTCAAATGTTGATTTAAATACTAAAACCTTCTTTACCATTAAAAATTGTGTACTTGAAAATGATCGCACCAGTGATCGAAACTTCACACTTGTTTTAAATATAAATCTTACTTACTTACTGTAAAAACTGTAACTTGTAATAAAATGTTCACGATGTTAGGTTCATGAAGTTTTGAAAGAAATGAATAAAAACCCTATAACCCGAGCGCTTTCGTATCAGACCTGAAGAAGAAAGGTTTACCTTTCGAAAGCACTCGAATTATAGGGTTTTATTCATTTCTTGTAATAAAATGTAATATTTATTGTATATCTATTATTGGCTGGTAATTTCTGTTTCACCCTGTACTTAAGTTTTTAAAGAAATACCAAATTTCTGTTAAAAACTTAACTTCAAGGGGTAATGATAACATCGTTTACACTAGAATTATGGTTTTTAAAATTACTACTAGTTAACAATACTTATAAAAGCGGATACTCCGTTTGAAACTACGTCTCCTCAGTGAAATTGGTTTTGGTTTTTAAGTTATCATGTAATAAAAAACAAGCAGAAGAAATTCAAACTTTTTGCTATGATATTTACAGACATTCCCAAAATTTGTGACTCAGTCATTACATAGATATTGTTATAAAATGAAACACTGTATAATATTGTAAAGTTTTGATGACCTATTGAGGAGATATTTAAAATACCATTTCGATGAACAATACGAGCAATCCCTACGTAGGCAGTGCTGCCACCTGCCTGATAAATATATACAAATAAGGGGGTTTCATCCGAAATGTTTATGAACATTAAAACTTGGTTAAAAATATTTTACATATTGCGCCCCATCTTTTTCTTATATCTGAAACTTCCCTAACAAAATTTTACACATAACAGAGATTGACTTGTGTATCACTTATTTCAAGAAAGTTCAGGAACTGAGAGTATAGACAATGATGTACTTAAAAACTCATTTTGTTTTAGAGTATACAACGATAAATTTATTGAAAACTTGGATACAATAATATATTTTTAGTGTATTCTTCTTCTATAAAAACTTTTTTATATTCGTACAGGCTTACAAAAGCAAAATACGTAAGATAAAAAGAAAAGCCAAATTTCTGATTAAAAGTCTTCATGCTATTCTTAAATAACCACTGCATTTCACACTATTATTATTTAAGTTTCCAAAAAACAAATAATATTTTTAACTGATATAGAAAAGATGATCGAAAACTTCCTAAAAACCATCTGTATCCCCCTTTTTTCTATAGTCTGAATTGCTGTAAAGGTTGCCGTCAGCACCACGAGTGATTGCCATGATGTTTGATTTGTAACCAGCCGGAAACCCTTGTAACTTGTGGCCAAACTTCTTTAAACCGTACAATATTTCCTGATGAAAAAACAAGTAAACAGAAGATATACTTTAAAAGGTAAAAAGTTAAACAATTTCGAAAACTCACTTCTTCATAATTTCATGTTATCAACTGTCAAAACGATATACCTTCAAAGGCACGATCAAGCAGCATAATTTAAATTGTTCGTTTTTCTTTGCTTGTTTGTTTGTAATTAAGCACAAAGCTACACAATGGGCTATCTGTGCTCTGCCCACCACGGGTATCGAAACCCGGATTCTAACGTTGTGCCAATGGGGAGCTTTTTTCTTTGCAACATATTCTTACAATTACAAGAAAAGATGGTTATTTGAATCGTAATCAAAATACAATAATAAGTTCACATTGTCAGTAGTTTTTGTTTTAAATGATACAAAAATGGTGTTCAACTTCAATTAAAATCAATATTTAATCCTACAGCCCAAATCTGTAAAACAAAACAAGTGTTAATAAAAAACAAATCATTCTTAACGTTGTTTGTGAGATTTTGTTTTCGTAAAGCTCTTTTTAATCATTTACTAGCAGAGCCCGCAAAACATTTGTCTTAGGCCTAACATTAGATAAGCCTTTATTAAAGACGGTCTATATTTGACTTGTGTATGTAACTTGTGTATGTTTTTGCTTTAGTTTAGTTAGAGCTAAACTTTACCGGACTTAATGCTATCAGTAAATAAATTTATAATGTTATTCTACAACCTAACATTAAACCCTTTTTAAAAACTTTAATAAGCTTTTAATATATGTTGTTGTACAAAATGTCTACTAAAGTATATTTACATCCGCCTTTTTTTTACATCCGTTGAAATTAAGTGTGTGCGCATGTGCATTTAAATATTAAGTTGTGCGCACATTTTCAGGACAGCTAAAAACTGAGTATTATTGAAATGTGTGTGAAATTAGGATTGTACACATTGCAGACGACGACGAGAACCATCAGAACAGTTGATACAAGACCCACCCCCTTTATTCCTGACTCCATTGTGTATTTAATTTCAGTCTAACAAGTAAGTTCACACAGCCTAAGTACTAAATTACATACAAAGTTTTAGCAGGGACGCTGCTGGCATACTTTATTTATTTATAAGCTAAAAGATAGGACCTAACAATCAATGCTAAAGTAACCTAGTAATTCTAATTACTGAATAGTCTCTTTTTATATTTGTCGAATTCCGAGCAAGGCTACGAGAGGACTATCTGAGCTAACCGTTCCTAATTTTGAAGTAGTAAACTATATAGAAGGCCCGCCATCAGCTTTTGAGCTCCTCTCGCCAGACCGAATCATGGGATTTGGCACTCTTGTTGTACACTACGGAATCAAAGTGTGGAGCACATTCTTGCGGTAACAAGGAGCAAACCATGAACCCTCGGAATAACAGTCCGGCACGCTAACCACTAGGCCACGCACAATCCTATTCTTCACGTTCTAGTGTCAGGTTACAGTTAGTTGTGCTTACGAGAAGGCGATGAATGAAATACAATGCTTACCTCAGAGAAATTCGGTTCGGACATCAGGACATTTGGCAGAAGTTGATGATGGACACGTGGATAGTCAATTGCTTCTTTGATGTTTTTCCCAGCCCATAAAGTATTTATGATCACCTGAAGTGTTTAAAGTTTTTTTTTTTTTTAGATATACATTTCATTGGTTCCTGTAAAACATCTTATTGTTTTATGTTTTAATGTTGTCGAAACCTTCGTGGTTAAAGACCTTAAAATGACGAATTGATTTGGTTTCTAATGTTTG